CGCCAATAAGAAGGCAATATGTTCAGCATCATTCACAGGGACGCGAGGATCCATGGTGGAAGTTAAGTACTTGCCATAAGAGGATTCAGATGATTTGGTTCCAGTTTGCTTTGAAGGGAAGATGAAAGGAGAATCCTTTTCAACCAATAAGGTACTTACATCAATCCCAAAGGGTTTGAGGCCGGTTAGATAGCACACGTCTTGAATGGTTGGAGCCATCATGCCACATTTCAAGTGTAAGGAGTTGGTGGTGGTCGACCAATTAAACATGGCTGCTATCATCAAGGCTCTGTCTTGGGCGATGTTAGTTTTACTTAGCTGAATGGCATCATATATGCCACAATCCTTCCATATTTCTCCCTTCACAGCTCCAACTCGATCGACCCAATTGATCCAAGCATCATTTGGGCTATGCCATGTTCTAAAATGAAAGTGTGGCAAACTGCCATTTTCATTAGGAGGGAAGGTTTGAAGGAATGGAAGAACGTCGGCCGAAGGATAGAAAGGTGAGATTGATGAAGGAGCTTCATCAAGGAAAGCAGGACCTAAGCCTTTGAAGTCAGTACGAAGATCGATAAGGGTATTGAGACAGTATTTGTAAGGAGATAGAGTTTTTAGGGATTTTTCTATGATGTTGCCATGAGTTGAAGGATCGGTAGGTTGAGGGATAGAGGTGGAATCAGTTGATTTAGTTTTCTTAGGAGCCATAGAGGATGTCAGGAACGATTTCGCCGAGAAAGAATTCAGAGATAGAAAGTTTAAGGAAAGAAGAATGATTTTAGGGATTAGAGGGTATCAAGCTAAATACTTGTTGGATGTAATAGCGGATTAGTGTAGTCGCCGCTTTAATTGGGAAAGATAACCATTAAAGCAGGTGGTTGGGAAAAGGATTTATTACTAAAATTTGAATTACAATTTTAGGCCGATTCAAATTCCAAACACTTCGTATCATAAGTGATAAAAGCCTTTGAAATTCAGGGGGCATTTGTTGGCACCAAAACTTGGCAGCCACTTCAGCAGCGACGTGGACCAATGGGAAGCCGATAAGGGTTGAGCATGTCCAAGAATGGATCGGCCAGTTTGAAGATATTAGGAGCAAATATAGAAAGATATATTTCAGCCACCTAATGATATGGCAGTTGCTGAAATATAGCAACTCACATTTGACTTTTTTCAAAATGGGATGTTAACAGAAAAGGAAAAGGCTAGAGTTTGGATGAAACTCAATTACTAAATTCCTATAAAATAGGAAGTTTAGTTTGATGAAAGAAGGAAAGCTTTGAAGACATGTATAGAAGATTGGCAGCATGAAGTGAACAAATCTAATTGTGACAAGTGGCCTTGACATGGCGCTAAAAGATGGGCCACTTGGGATAGAACATGGCTGCCAAGTTTTTAAAAGGAAGTTGCTAGAACTTAGCAACTTTTCAGCAACTTTCTAGCAACGTTTTAGCAATATCTCGGCAACTTACATGTGATTAAATCGAGGAAGGTTGTTTTTACAGAGATTTCCTACTGAAACAAAACAAGAAAGGAAGCAGAATAACAATAGGATTTGACTGAGTTCAAATTGTGAAGAAAAGAATCAAAGAAGGAGAGATTTTCTAACAATAACTTAGGAAAATAAGTTGAGATAGAACTTCTATAAATAGAAGTATTGTATTCCAATTCCAACTTGTCCAGCACCACCACAAAATATGCATTTCAACTAAAAATGTTTTCAATTGACTCTACGTCATTTTTTCCTATCAATTTCTTTATTTCAATTTAATGGCAATCGATTAGATCATTGTCAACTATTTCAATTCAGCCATTTACTTTCTTTCAATTTCAATTATGCCAATTTTAATTACGCAATTTTAGTTAGGCTTTCAATTCAATGGCAATTGATTAAATTCTTGCCATTGAATCGTAGTGACAATTGATTAAATTCTTGTCATTACTTGGCTGATGGCAATTGATTAAATTCTTGCTATCACGTTTCAGTGGCGATCGATTAAATTCTTGCCATTGTTTTGGCTGATGGCGATTGATTAAGTTCTCGTCATCACGTTCGGCCGGCGATCGATTAAGTTCTTGCCGCCTGTCTTCACTCGTCCATTCCATCCATTCGAACATTCATCAGCCGTTGCATTTCTTTAGATACTCAAAAAAGTCCTTGCTACAAACAAGGCATAAAAGAACCTTGCTGGGAGTTCTTACTAGTCTCTCTCCTACACAATCGCCTGAGAGTCAGCCATCGGAAAAGGGGATAGGCTGGTGTTCAATTACATATTTTGGGTATTTTGTACAAATACTCTGGCACGCTCGCGAAGAGTCCATCGACCGGCGTAGGGAACAAAAACCGCGTGAACACTTTCTGATTGGAATGGCAGGCTTAACACAGGTTCTACTGTGAAACAATCAACTATCCGGAGTCATCCCACAGTTTGGTCCTCATGTTGTGGTTGTTACAAGTGGGAATAAGGGTCTGATTAACATTCCCAGATCACATCCTTTCCAACCAAAGAGGGGAAAAGCAGTTTCTGTAAGACATGTAATTGTAGTTGCAGTTGGGACAGCGGCGCTTATTGCTCTATCCATCTACAGACGAGCACACAAGATCATCAAATTCGAGCAATTACAACCTGGAGAGGGTTCGGATGCAGCTAGAAATGTAACCTCATCATCGTCCATGTGGTTTTGTAATTGCTTCTTACTTTTTAGTCCTAACTAGAGATTGTTTTAGGGGTAGTTCTAGAGATGGTTTTAGGGTAGTTCTTACTGGTATTCATATATATGTAATAAGATTTTACTTGTCTATTCCCTCGGGGATAAACTCCCATAAATGTTTAGCATCTCCCAGTCCCCACCACCCTTGCAACTTCCTTCTTTTCTATGGATAAATAGCAACATTCGAGTTTCGACTGATAGGGCAAAAAAGGCAAAGGAAATATTCAACTCCAAAGACCATGGTATGTATATGTACTAAACTAACATTAAACTTCTGATCGAGAGAGGACAGTTACGTGCATAAGTTCAACTCAACCCACAAAAAAAAAAAAAAAAAAAAAAAAAAAAAAAAAAAAGGTGAACTTTTAAATTTGTACAGCAATACAAGTATACTTAGTGTATATGTACATACATGTATTATACGTGTATAGTACAAGCATTTTCTAACTATGTATATAATAATAACTAAGCTCCTTTACGCTTAGGTATTCTGAACATAGTTTCAAAATTCTGCAAACATAAAACAAATTTCAGATAGATATAAAACAAAGCAGCCATTTTATTTTTCTCTCAATTTTCACAATACAATTTTCAAGAACTGTCTACTGAAGTCCTCTCTTTTTCTATTATATGAGAGTATAAAACAGTTGCAGAAAACTAAACTACACAAGATTTATAACCCGTCATGGTAAAGATGGAGGTTAAGTGAAGAAGGGATTTGACTGGAAAGCCAATGTAGACCAGTATGTCAAACAAGTTAACTGCTACTATCCATTTTCCCCAGCGTAGAGATAAGATAAGTCACTATTTTTCGTTTTAAGTACACAACACAGGTTGAGATTTGAATATACAAAATAGCTGGCAATGCTTTCAACTTTTCCCTTATATCGTTCGAGCATCCTAATCACATTTCCTTTTCCCATGCATCAAAAGAAGCATCCGTTTCCTTTAGTTTCTCTTTAGTCAGATGAGTACCAAGGCCTCTACCTTTGAGAAAAGTTTTAACAGATTTAGCCCACAGTATGTAATTCTTCCCATTGAGTTTAACTGAAGTCATGGGAGAATGAAGACTGGATGTGGGAGAAAACAAATCTGAACTGGATGCCATGGTGAACCCATCAAAAACAGAGAAGAAGAAAAAAATATGCAGAATCTGTATTCTGGCCGAACCTGGAAAACGGGCCGGACCTAGGTAAATGGGCTAATCTGGTCAAACGGGTCGAATCTGGTCAAACGGCTCGGACCAGCCCCACATCTCTGCAACCCTGGTTTTAGTAAAACAAAGTTGGGATAACTTCACACCTGCAACCAAACACGTCTCTTCTTCTCTGCGATCAGCACCGACGAGAACAAAAATCTACTACCGACACTAAACTTAAGCAACAGAGGTTCGCGAATGAAGAATCGAGGCTAGTACACCCTCGCCCTTGCAGCAGCGACAACAAACCAACAAAAAAAAAAATAGCGATGATACAACACGAGCTTCAGATCTAAGAACAAAAGAGCTTCAGATCTGAGAACAACAGACCAAAAGCGCTAACCATAACACCAGCTTCAGATCTCCGGCTCTGAATAGAACAACGAACAGAGCTCCGGCGAAAAACATCTCTTTCTCTCTTATTTCCGGTGTCGATCAGAGACTATCTCTTTCTCTCTCGATTTTGATTTGTACAAGAACACACAGACGCAGCAGAAGCACTAATTTGAGAACTAGCAGCCACCAAGAAAGAGTAGCTCTGATACCATGCTCAAATCATGGGAGAGAGAGAGAACTTGTATGTATATATTTCACACCCACAACCTAATAAGCCTTTGCAGGCTTATATAAAGGATACAAGTCAACTAAATAACACAAGGGCCCTACCAATTGTATGTAATTACATAACTTAACATATATATATATATATATATATATATATATAACATCCTAACAGTTTCCAAAATACTCGGAGTGAAATATATATATATTTGTACACCTCATCTTTGTAAAGGTCTTTTTCTTCTTCTGTTTTTTTAGCGTAAAGGTCTCTACAAAAAGATATGGTTTTAATCTTAGTATATATATTTTTTTCTTAATTGGTACTCACACAAATTACCGAGACTTAAACTCTTAGATTTTCTTTTGAAAAATAAGGGCCTAATACTACTAGGTTACTGCCCGTTGATAATCGTAGTCTTTCTTAGTGAAGAAATTTTAAACGTTACAACAATGCAAAGTAAAACTACTGTAAGTCTTGGTCTTTGACAGTGATCAGTCAGGCCTGCAACAACAAGCTAAACACTGACCATTTTCGTTCTTTCTTACATCTTTCCCACAACTTTCCCTCCCCATGGCATTGCATACCCCAATCTCTCTCTCTCTCTCTCTCTCATCTCTTAAATTCCCTCCTTAATCTGTTCCTCTGCCTACCTGAAACAAATATAATACTACTTTATACAATAAAAATTGCAGTTGTTGATTACTTTGGAGGGAAAGCTAAGATGATCAGGTATGTACCCATTAACTCTCTCCTCATGTTCTTGGCAATTCTTCAATTGGTGTTCTCTCAACTGCCTCCAAACCAGATAAACACCATGCTCAAACTCTCTGAGCTTCTCAAAAACAACTCATCTCCTGATTTTCCCTGGAAAATCAATCCAAATTCAGACCCATGTTTGTGGAAGGGGGTTTCGTGCGGTCCCAACAACTCCTCCATCATCCAACTTTCTATCTCTGGTTTTTCTCTTTCTGGCTCTGATTTTCTCCCTGTTCTTTGCCAAATTGATACCTTGCAGTCTATTGATCTGTCCAACAACCATTTGAATGAAATTCCAAATGGGTTCATTACAGGTTGTGGACAGATTGGTGGGTTAATGGTGTTGAATTTTAGTAGAAACAAATTGAGTGGTCCTTTGCCCACTTTTCAAGGTTTTGGTGTGTTGGAGTTGTTGGACTTTTCTCATAATTCTTTGAATGGAAAGATTGATTTACAGTTTGATGGATTGGTTGGTCTCAAAAGTTTGAACCTTAGCTACAACCAATTCAGTGGTTCTGTTCCAGTAAAGCTTGGACGGTCCATGGTTTTGGAGGAGCTTCAGCTTTCTAGCAATTCTTTCCAAGCTAATATCCCCATAGAAATATCAAGTTATAGGAATTTGAGTCTGGTTGATCTGAGTGCAAATAATCTTTCTGGGTCAATTCCTGATTCATTTAGAAACCTTACCAAGTTGAAGATTTTGATTCTATCTTCAAATTCTTTGAGTGGTGAAATCCCCCCAATCTTTTCAACTATCAAAACCCTGTACCGATTCGCAGCGAATCAGAATAATTTTAATGGTACACTTCCACCTGGTCTTACAATGTACCTCATTAAGTTAGACCTCAGTTACAATAAGTTGCATGGGTTGCTCCCGACGGACTTTCTGTCGAACTCAAATTTGCAGTTTTTGGATCTGTCCAACAATTCTTTGGACGGTCCAATACCTGAAAATATGTCACCAAACTTGGTGAGATTGAGATTGGGAAGCAATTCTTTTGATGGCGAAATACCGTCATCATTTGGTAGTCTCCAACAGTTGATGTATTTGGAGCTGGATAACAATAATTTGAGTGGATTGATACCTCCTCAGTTGGGTATGTGCCAGAAGTTGGCACTGTTGAATCTAGCTAATAACAGCCTGACCGGTGTGTTGCCGGTACAGTTGGGTAATCTTAGCAATCTTCAGGAGATGAAGCTTCAATTCAACAAGTTGGATGGTGAAATTCCAAATCAAATTACTCAGTTACAAAAATTGGAGAAACTCAATATCAGCTGGAATTCACTGAGTGGTTCGATACCTCCTTCAATCTCAAACTTGCGGAGTCTCTTCAACTTGAATCTACAAGGCAACAATCTCAGTGGTCCAATACCCAATTCAATTGGCGACTTGAATAATCTGTTGGAACTCCAACTTGGGATGAACAGATTAAGTGGGAATATCACATCACTGCCAACAAATTTGCAAATTGCTTTGAATCTCAGCAGCAACCTCTTTGATGGACCTATCCCCTCCGTTCTTTCCAATTTGACCGGATTAGAAGTTCTGGATCTCTCCAACAACAGCTTCTCTGGAGAGATTCCAGACTTTCTGGCCGGAATGGGCTTAATGCAGGTTTTACTGTCAAACAATCAACTGTCTGGAGTTGTACCACAGTTCAATTCATATGTTGTGCTTGTTGCAACTGGGAATAAGGGTCTGATATACTTACCACCACCAGCACAGCAGTCTCCTCCACCATCACCACAGCAGTCTCCTCCACCATCACCAAAGAAGAAAACTGTTTCTGTGGCGGTGGTTGTTGCAGCAACTGGTGTCCTCGCTATTGGGGTAGTTGAGTTTATTGCTATATGGATCTCCAGAAGATGTCACAAGATTAATGATGAGCAATTAGAACCAGAACTTAACCCCAGGTAATTGAGGAAACCTGTCGAACTTTAAAACGGCGTAGTTCTAATTTGACCGGATTAGAAGTTCAGAATCTCTCCAACAACAGATTCTCTGGTGAGATTCCAGACTTTCTGACTGGAATGGCTGGCTGAACGCAGGTTCACAGGACAGTTACGTATGTAAGTTCAACTAAAAAAAAAGTTTTGTATGGCAATGGAAGTATTCTTCGTGTGCGTGTATATATATATATATATATATATATGCATATACGTGTATTACAGTTGAGAACTTTCCTGGTTATCCACTCTGTCTCACACAGTTCAAAAACACTGAGATCTTCCAAACACTCCAAACAATAGCCTATTTGTGAGAATGAATCAGGCATAAATTCTTGTCTCTCTTGTGTGGGCTATTTTATTTTCTTGTCATTATTTTTTTCTTGTTCTCACAAATTCTTATTCAATCCTTATTCAGGTATAAATTCTTGTCTCGCTTGTGTGGGCTATTTTATTTTCTTGTCATTATTTTTTTCTTGTTCTCACAAATTCTTATTCAATCCTTATTCCTAAACTTTTCAATTCAATAATTGAGAATTCCAGGACACTTTTCAATTTAGCCCAGTAAAAAAATATTTTTTTTTTGTGTTTTTTGGGTATTTAGTTCTGTAAAATATTTATGAAAAAAATATATATTCTAAAACTTAACAAAAATAATTAATTCATCAACTTTCGACAAGCTATTTTATATGTCCCACCCGATGGATTCGACTTCAACATCGACCTAGATCTTTATCAAAAACCGAAAAATAAAAATTATATATATATATTACTTAAAAAATATATATATTTTTTGAAAAAAATATTTTACAACTAAACAAACGGAGCCTTAATAATTAAGAATGCCAACTCACGATGAGAACAGTTTATTATAGCACTTCTACTAACCTTTGTGCCTAATGCCCCTGCTTTTTCCTCCCTGAAACCTATTAAGTTTACTTATATTATACTAGCATGTGACATGCCGGGGTAGTGCCAATATTTCAATTCCGGGGTGAGAACTGGGCACAGTCTAAAAAATAAATAAATAAATAAATTTAAATCAACTAATGTAACAAATATAAATTGTTCAAATTAAGCGGGCAAAGAAGAAAAAAAAATTTTATTATAAACTAATATACTAATGAATAAGCAATATAAGAAAGATAAATGTTTGATCAATATAAGAACTAAAATATTGTTTGATAATATTTTTAAAAAAAATTATTATAAAATAATATACTAATCAATAAGTAATATAAGAAAGATAAATGTTTGATTAATATAAGAACTAAAATATTGTTTGATAATATTTTCACTGAATACAGTTGTAGTATGAAATTACACCCATTGACTTCATAAAATAACACTAATAAATTAAAATTAAATTAAAATAAGAAATAAAAATAATAAGAAGAGAGGAAAAAAAAAGTTGCATACTACATACATCATACATAAGTGCAAAAATAAGAATTTTAAGTTGGAAAATAATAATAATAAGAAGAAGAAGAAGAAGAAGAAGAAATGAGAAAACTTTGAAAATTAAAAAATTAAAATTTGATTGAAGAAGGGAAATTTAACCATTTTTTATTGGAAGGAAATTAAAGAAATTTGAAGAATAAAGAGAGAAGAAAAAATAAAAGTTAAGAGATCATTTTAAAATGAAAGCTTTAAGGTCAAAGTTTTCGTCAGCAAGGGCTTCGTGTTACGTCTGCCCCTTCTAAAAAGGGAAAAATTCAAGTCTTCATAAAACAAAATTTCATCTAATCTTATTTTTAAAACAATTTTGATTTAAGAACCATTTTGAAATGGATAACATGGTAGTGCTACTAGTGCATTAATTTTTATGGTCAAAGTATAATACTACTTTAAAAGAGAGCTCATAATAAAGAATATGAGTTGAATCTGTTGCCAACATTCATTCATTCCTCCCATATCTCATAAGACTATGGGTAACATGGCTTGCTCTTTCTTATTGAAAAATAACAATAATAATAATAATAATAATAAATAAATTTAATGTGAGATAAGACAAGACTTTTAATATATATATATTTTTTTCGAATTTGCAAGGCTCTCGTTACGATCGGACCACCCTTTTACTCATCATCTCTAACCTATCTAGTGAACCCAATAACGAACTGGATCCATACCTCCGAAATGGGCGCTTGGTGTGACACTGTATTAAGGGGTCTGCTCTGATACCTATTGTAATGAGTTTTCTGACTTTAAGTTAAAGAATAATGCTAGATTAAGAAGCCTGCTCTGATATCTATTGTAATGGGTTGAGCGTTCGTATTCTGACTTTAGCTATTGAATAATACTGCATATTCGTTCTTTTGTATTTAATCCAACCTGAAACAAGACTCCTCGAACATTAATTTCTTCCAAATCAATTTGTGAATAATGGAAGATTCGAAGTGTTTGACCAAACCCCTTCCTCCAATTAAGTGAGTCTGAGTTAATGACTGAGTTCCACAAATACACTTGAAGGATTATTGGCACTTGCTTGACTTGAGAGGTTTCCAAGTAATTTTAAATCTACGCGTTTGATTGACCTTCTTTGTGCAACCCATCTGTGTGTGCATATAGACACGCACATCTTTGTCGAGGTCTTCGCTTCCGTAAATCATCTTTGTGATGGTCCCCTACAAAAAGACTTGGAGGCTTAAATACTTGAAAGAAAGGGCCCACTGTGAGTCTGTGACCATGACCAAGTCATTTTTTTTTTTTTTTTCATAATTCATAGTCAAATTTGAACTCTTAAAAATAAGTGTCTGACACTGCTAAATCACTATCTGTTGATACCATGACCATATCTCGGTCAATTTTTTTTTTTACATTTTTAACAATCCAAACCAACACTGTTGTTAGTCTAGTCTTTGGCAGGTCAACAAACACTAGCACTTTTTTTTTTTTTTATATGAAAAAAAATAATAAAAAAAAACCCTCACAGATTTCCTACCCCATGGCATTTACGTATCTCCAATCTCTCTGTGTCTCTCTCCACCCTTCTATTCCCTCCTCCATTTGAGTAGATATTGATTCAACAAAGCATACCAATTTATTGATAATGCTCAAAAGTAAAAATGTACCATATCAAGGTATATTTCAAGGTACCAGTTTTTAAGAGTAGAAAATAGAACCAGTTTTATTTCAAGGTATATTTTCATTAGTGAACATTACGGATAACTAGTATGTCTAGCTCACTCAATATCTTCTGAATCAATGTGTTCCTCCACCTTCCTTTTTCCTTCTTCCTTCTTCTGCCCACTTGAAGCAAATAGAGAATATATATGTGTGTGTTTGTGTGTGTGATGCATATATAATACTCTGTACAATAAAAATTGCAGCTGTAGATTAGAGCAGGTACATTAACTCTCTCCTCTTGTTCTTGTTCTTGGCAATCCTTGAGTTGGTGTTCTCTAAACTGCCTCCAAACCAGATAACCAACATGGTCAAACTCTCTGAGCTTCTCAGAAACAACTTAGCTTCTGATTTTCCATGGAATAATAAAACAAATTCAAACCCATGTTTGTGGAAGGGAGTTTTGTGCAACTCCACATCCTCCTCCATCACCAAAGTTTTTCTCTCTGGTTTCTCTCTCTCTACCTCTCATTTTCTGCCTGTTCTTTGCCAGATTGATACGTTGCGGTCCATTTATCTCTCCAACAACCATTTGAGCGAAATCCCAAATGGGTTCATGATAGGTTGTGGAGAGATTGGTGGGTCAAAGCTGTTGAATTTCAGTATGAACAAATTGAGTAGTCCTTTGCCCACTTTTCATGGTTTTGGTATGTTGGAGTTCTTGGACTTGTCCCATAATTTTCTGGATGGCGAGATTCATTTACAGTTAGATGGATTGGTTGGACTCAAAAGTTTAAACCTTAGCCACAACCAATTCAGTGGTTCTGTTCCTGAACTAGCAAGTTGTAGGAATTTGAGTCAGGTTGATCTTAGTGCAAATAAGCTTTCTGGGTCAGTTCCTGAAACATTTAGCCAGCTTTCCGAGCTGGAGATTTTGAATCTACAAGGCAACAATCTTAGCGGTCGAATACCCGATTCGATTGGCAACTTGAATTCCCTATTGGAACTCCAAGTTGGGATGAACAGATTAATTGGGAATATCACATCACTGCCAACAAATTTGCAAATTGGTTTGAATCTCAGCAACCACCTCTTTGAAGGACCTATCCCCCACACACTTTCTCAATTGAAGGATTAGAAGTTCTGGATCTCTCCAACAACAGCTTCTCTGGAGAGATTCCACGATTTCTGACCGGAATGGCAGGCTTAATGCAGGTTTTACTGTCGAACAATCAACTGTCTGTAGTCGTGCCGAAGTTCGAAACATATGTTGTTGTTGTTACAAATGGGAATAAGGGTCTGATATATCCACCAGCAGCAGCACTGCAGTCTCCTCCAGCATCACCAAAGAAGGAAACAGTTTCTGTGGCGGTGGTTGTTGCAGCTGGTGTCTTCACTGTTGGGGTAGTTGAGGTTATTGCTCTATCGGTCTACAAACGATGTTACAGGATCAATGATGAGCAATTAGAACCAGAAGAGGGCCTTGCTTAACCCCAGGTTATTGAGGGCAACCTGTTAACTATAAACGGCATAGTTCAAATTTGGCCGGATTAGAAGTTCCAGATTCTCTGGTGAGATTCCAGACTTTCTGATTGGAATGGCAGGCTTAACACAGGTTCTACTGTGAAACAATCAACTATCCGGAGTCATCCCACAGTTTGGTCCTCCTGTTGTGGTTGTTACAAGTGGGAATAAGGGTCTGATTAACATTCCCAGATCACATCCTCCCCAACCAAAGAGGGGAAAAGCAGTATCTGTAAGACATGTAATTGTAGTTGCAGTTGGGACAGCGGCGCTTATTGCTCTATCCATCTACAGACGAGCACACAAGATCATCAAATTCGAGCAATTACAACCTGGAGAGGGTTCGGATGCAGCTAGAAATGTAACCTCATCATCGTCCATGTGGTTTTGTAATTGCTTCTTACTTTTTAGTCCTAACTAGAGATTGTTTTAGGGGTAGTTCTAGAGATGGTTTTAGGGTAGTTCTTACTGGTATTCATATATATGTAATAAGATTTTACTTGTCTATTCCCTCGGGGATAAACTCCCATAAATGTTTTGCATCTCCCAGTCCCCACCACCCTTGCAACTTCCTTCTTTTCTATGGATAAATAGCAACATTCGAGTTTCGATTGATAGGGCAAAAAAGGCAAAGGAAATATTCAACTCCAAAGACCATGGTATGTATATGTACCTATGAAGCACGGACACTCCTCTCAGGGTTCCGTACTCGTGTCGGATACTTTTCGGACACCGACACCCGTGTCCGAGGCTCGAACACGTGTCCGACACTTCTGTAAAGTGTCCAAATATTATTTTTTATTGGACACGCGTGTCCGAGGCTCGGACACGCGGTCCGACACTTCTGTGAGACAAAATTTATTTTCTCTCACTCATCTCAGTCTCTCCTCTTCTTCAATTATCTCTCTTCATGAACAAGATATATATATATATATATATATATATATATATATATATATTTAAGTTACATGAGCAAAACTTTGTGAAAGACTGAAAGTATATATGTTTATTCATATACATATTTAGTTCATTATAGTTATGTCTCTTCTATACATCTTCGTTTGGAATTTAGATCAACTTTATTTTTCATTTATTTTCTATTTTGTCTTGTCCATATTGTTCTTATAACAGAGATGAAATTATTGAAATTGATTCTGTTCTTTGTTGTTGTTTTATTTATCTGTACAAGATTCTAGTAATTATATTTTGATTATATAATTATATATATATATAATTTTATTGGCGTATCCCCGCCGTGTCCGTGTCCTATTTTTTTGAAATTTGCCGTGTCGCCGTATCCGTGTCGTATCGTACCCGTGTCCTGTATCCGTGTCCGTGCTTCATAGATATGTACTAAACTAACATTAAACTTCTGATCGAGAGAGGACAGTTACGTGAATAAGTTCAACTCAACCCACAAAAAAAAAAAAAGGGGTGAACTTTTAAATTTGTACAGCAATACAAGTATACTTAGTGTATATGTACATACATGTATTATACGTGTATAGTACAAACTATGCATATAATAATAACTAAGCTCCTTTACGCTTAGGTATTCTGAACATAGTTTCAAAATTCTGCAAACATAAAACAAATTTCAGATAGATATAAAACAAAGCAGCCATTTTATTTTTCTCTCAATTTTCACAATACAATTTTCAAGAACTGTCTACTGAAGTCCTCTCTTTTTCTATTATATGAGAGTATTGTAAGATTATTTATTTAATTGTGGCCCTCATGATTTGGACATATGACATATTACTTGGTGGCTAAGTAAATAGATATCAATTAATATTATTTATTTATGGTCAACTTATAATTACCTTTTTGGTAATTACTTATTGGAGAAGTGTTTTCCTTTCTTATTTCTTACTTTGATGGAAAGTAGAATTATGTTACTAATAGGAAAACTGGTCCTCTCTCTACCTTTATAAAAGTGCATATACTCTATCAATTATGTACAATTAATGATACAACACGTAAAAGTTTTATGTGTACAAAAGGTCAAGAGAGAGAAACCAGTTTCCACCTTTGCCTGTTGATCAGAGTTGCAGATTAGTTCGTGGTTAAAGGATCTAGAAGTTGGATTTAATCTCAACAAGGTTTGATATCATGAATCGAAGTATTTATATCTAACTAGTATTTATTTATGCATTATAGATATGTGAAAATCATGAAGTTCTAAGATATGGGATTCATGTAAATTTGTGATTAATGGCTTAACACGAATTATTATAGTTTACATGTGGTATCAAAGCTAACGGTTTAGGAACTCATTATTTTTCATTAAAGTTGCATAAATAATATGTATAATTTTAAAATTAAATGATTGTATAATCCATTCTTTTAGAATCGTATGTTTAGATCAGTCCGTGTGATTTTTGGGTTTAGGTACCTCAATTTCTGAACCAAAATTGAATTATGAAAGTTGGTTACTGATACATAGTTTACATATGTGTAATAGTACAAACGTATGCATAATATGTGTAAGACAAACAACTTCAATGCTTTAGGTTACTGATTTTCGTGCATGACTAATAAAGAATATTGAATTAAAATAATAATAATAGCATTTGTCTTGCTATTGTTTTATAGAAACAGTAAGTTGTGAAAGGATTACAAAAACTCATTATTATTATTATTTAAAAATTAATAAATACATAAAGTTTGTGTAATTATTTATTTTATTAAAGAGGTTTAAATTATTGTTATAAGTATTTGTCCAATGATTTGAAGATTCTGATTTTAATTTAAAATAAATTAAAATTAAAGTTATTGAATACATAAAATATATGTATTGATTTATTTATTTTAGGAATTTGAATTTCTAGAATAATTTGTGAGTTTAGAAATTTAATCTAATAAATTAGACATGTAAATAACTTATTGTTTCGTACCCAAACATACATACATATTGTAGAATCAATTTTAAATTAATTCAATTATGATCTTTAAGTCCGAAAATAAAATAATATATTTTATTATGTATATAAAATAAAAAAATATTTTCTATGAAATTTCGGACTATTAAGTTTTTGAAATCGAAGTTGCTTAAACTTTAATCGACAATTATGAGTATGTGTGTATAATGTTAAATGGGTAAATTAATAATTAATTAATTACTAGTTAATTTAATATTCATATTATGTGTGGGTTAGTAGCTACCAAAGTGGTCTAACCATAATGGTCAATGAATATTAATTTTAGTAGTAAATATAACTTAATGATGAATTAATTACTATCTAATTTAATATTCATATTATGTGAAGATTGGTGGCTACTAAAGTGGCCCAATCATAATGATTGATGAATATTAATTTTTGTAATAGACATAATTAATAATAAATTAGTTACTATCTAATTTAATATTCATATTATGTAAAGGTTGGTAACTACCAACGCCTAACCATAATAGTTGATGAATATTAATTTTAGTAGAAAACATAATTGCAATATTTCATGAATTATGATGCTTATAATTTTTTGTGATATTCATGAATATTGATTTTATTTAATTATGAGAAATAATTCCTCAAAGGGAATTGATTTTCAAGTAACTAAATAAAAATTAAAGGGTCGTATGTATTTTTTTATTTATTAGGTAAATATAAGATATCCAAAGGTAACTTATTTGTTTAATTAAATAATGCATCACCAATAAATGTATACATATAAATACATGTAAGCATCATTATTAGTATTTTATAGTTGTCACCCAAAGAGGTACTATAGTTATACATTGTATTTATATTTTTAAGTTATACATACGTGTTGTTAACTCAAAGTATTATTGTTGTTAAGATTTTATCTTATTATATTTGTTTTATTACATCCCTTAATGCGCATGCTACATCTGTTCTAATTCTCAATATGACTAACTTCTTATAATGAAATGAGTAAGTTGAGTTCAAAATTTAGATGTGTTAAATCTTAATTTAACATTTTAAATTGAGAAACTTACTGTTATTACTGATAAAAACAGTGAGGAAGAAAAGATTCTCCATAAAGCTTGGGAGAGATCGAACAGATTAAGCATTATGGTTATGCGAATAATTGTTCCTCATAGTGATAGTGCTAAGGAATATTTTGACTAGAAAAATGTTTTCGTATTATAAATAAATATCTAAAACGAAAATTATTAATTGATATAACTACTATGGATTTTTTGTTGTACTCGTACCATGTATGATCGTATTTTTAGATGACTAATGATGCTGCAAAATTGAGAACCTTACGGATGATTGTGAATAGGAATTTTCTTATTCAATTTATTCTAAATTTCTTGTTTATTCAGTATGGGTCATTTCGAATTAACACTATTAAGACAAGTGGAAAGTAAAAGTATTGACCATTATGTTAATTTAGGAGGAGACAAAGCTTAAGCAGCAGGTAATCATTATGTTCAGCTGATGACTCAAGAACTTAGAAAGAAATTTGGGAATAAGTCAGAAAAGGCATTAAGTGAGCAACACCCAAAATTAAAAGATTTAGGTCAATCTACTAAAGAAAGTAATGTAATAATGAAAAAGTGTCATTAATGTATTGAACACTTTTAGAAAGATTACATGACATATAAAGAATGATTCGAAAAAAGAAAAAAGTACGCTTTTGGCTTTTGTATA